TTTATGATGAGGCATTAACACAGGTTTGTAGTTCATAGCTTCCTTATTTATTAAAGGCTCTATTCTGTACGCAACAGGATCAAACTAAAATGTACAATAACATGCAGCAATTAGGAGGCAAAGTCTCTAATCAGTGTGTCCTCTATGGTAATATGACACACCAATGATGCAAAAAGATTTGCCGTGACAAAACTGTAAAATTTTCACTGGGTTTAAATTTCGCTGATTTACCATTTCAGGTATATTCAGTGGGTTTTAAATTCACGGTTTTATCATTTAGATAATGTGTTCTATGCTAAATTTTACATACTAGTATTCACTGGGTTTTAATTTAGTGCATTTTCCAGTCAGCGAAATATACAAAATTAAAACCCAGTGAATAATTAATCATATTACAGTAGTTGTGAAATTCACGGACGCAACCAAAAAATCCTACATTTAATACAGTGATCTTGAAAAAAATCTTACTATAGTTATGGAATTTGCAATTTGGTAAAATGATAAAGTGCAATATATAATAAGTGTATATTTTTAATAGAAATATATTTGTCACCTATACTGTCACAATTTTTTTTTATTTTCGTAGACTAAGCTTCCTAGCAGTCAACAAGCTGACGAATGTTTGCGATCAGTGAGAGGATTTTATTTTCGTTGTGTGCTATAGCATTCAGTGTAAACAAAGAAAAATTGTTGAATGTGACGTCAATAACCTTTTATTGTTTTCAGCCCTAGATGTATAATAATGAAGAATTCAGTTTCCCCAAAAACATTTTAGTGTGAGTACACATTCAGAGAGTCATAAAATTTCCTGTAAATGGAGCAATAAAAAAAAAGTACACTTTACCGGATGAAAGATGTTAAACAGCGCATCACATGTCGGTAGTTTAAAATCATCTCCTACAGTTTCAACTCCTCTGACAGTTAAAAACATCCCGATAGGGGAACCAAGTGCAAAGAAACATGACGGCAGGAAATCCAGCTGGGGATACTTTACAAAAGGTTGACCAGTACCTGCCAAAAAACAAAAATTGTGTTTGTTGTCAACATCAAATAATCTTATTACGTGGTCAGTTTCCGTAAATTCACGACATGCATTTGTTTAACACATTGTCTGCTGAAACTATTTTCCTGTTTATTTTGACGATCAGTGGACGATTTCAGCAGGTAATATTTTGTGGGGAAACTTAGCAAAGCCACACAAGTAGGTTATCAAACTACAAAGACCAGCAGATGACAATAAAACTACATGCTTCCACAGCAATATTAGGTAACTCTGGGTAAGGTTGCAATTATGGCAAAGGGGTTATCATGCTATTAGATCAATACCAGGGAAAGACTATGCCAAGTTGGTAATTTTTAAAGCCACATTTAAAACATTTTTTATCGACTGTGCATGCAAGACTCACACAATTGAACTTGGCTGAAATACACGAGTCTAGTCCTCAATTGTTTTATTACTAAGAATATGCTGCAAAGGTTCAGGTACATGCACAACAAAGAAGCAACAAGAAAGTGATGTCAATTTTGAAGCCATAAGTTTTAGGCATATCTATTTCAAGGTTTTACGATTTAGATTTATGGAGTTTAGATTTCCAAAAAAAGTTGTCTTCGAAATGACTGGTATTTTGGCACCAAATTATTAACCTCCACAATTAATTGAAAGACGAAAAAAAAAATAAAAAAATTTAAAATAAAAAGCAAGAAGTATAAAAAAAGTGGGTACAAATATCTAAAATTGACACTTAGGTCAATATCTCAGTTCATATCTTGTATGATCACTACTTTGTAATCTTTACAGCCGTTCTGAGAATTATTCGGACAGTCAGTTAGCAATATATCTTTGCAAAACACTTGGGTCTAATCTAGACTTGATGGCACCGTTGTATTGGCACGCCCACGATTGGGATCATTCCATTATCTTGCTAGATGCAGGTAAAATGCTGTTTATAAAACGACACGCGTTGGTTTCCATACATTAACAGGTTATATGTTGTATATGCATTCAAACTGTTATTTTAAATTATATATATATAACCATACGAGTCCACCTGACAGAGCGCAATTTACAAAACAACATAACCCCAGGTATTAATGAACTTGTCGTTGGAGGGAAGGTTAAAAAGTAAAGTTTCTTAGCATTGGACGCGCTGCAATTTCGTGACAGATTTGAGTCAAACTAAAAGTTGTTTTCACATTAGGGTACTTGTGCATTATGTATCAAATTCAGATTTTATACCGAGGTGGGAGAGTACGTCAGGGATACATGGACGGAAAACTTGATTATAACGGTTTGATGGACTTTGTCAAATCAAAGATGCCTTCCTTGAGCAAATCTTTTTTTAACTGCAGTTTGAAAATGACGAGGGTATGATGACCTTATTATGTCTAGTCCAAATTTGTAACAGTCACAACTGACTATTAAATGAGCGAGGTGTTGAAACACCCAACTTACAAATAATTACAATATAAATATTAGAAAATAAAGAATGGTTTCTGTAAATGCACGCTGGATAATACTTGCACTTCACCATGCTGACAACCCCTATGAGATAGTAATCCCAAACCACACGCTGGTCGATCAAGTGGCGCCGACAAGTCAAGATTGGGCAAAGACCAAAGTGTTTTACAAAGTTGCAAGTCATTTTGCTAACTGACTGTCCGAATAATTCTCAGACCGGCTGTAATGTCTCTCAAAAACTTGCATCATATATTTTTTGGACAAACTTAGTCCAATGAAAAATTATATCGATATGGTCTAAAATTAATGAAAAAATTATCAAAAAATGCATGAAAATGTGCAAAATAATAATACACCACAAATGTTTTCGGAAAAGTTTAAATAATAGCCACTCAGTAAAGCATAAACAGTTAAACAAAATGTGAACAAAACCTACCAGCTATGAATTAGGAGGAGAAATGCCATGCAAAATACAAAACAAAATATTAGCGAATGTTAAATACGAATAAAATAGTTCACTGGTGTCTAAAGCCATGAAATAATATGACGTGGAGGTGGTTATTAATAGCAATGCTATTGTTCAATGATTACCAGTAGTCGTTTGTCAATACATATTGATGTTTTTTCTTTATTTTAGACAACAAACGTCTTTACAATAAGAACAAGGTTGTCACTATGAATACTGTAAAATCTGTATTAGAAGCTACGGCTTCTATTAAAATGGTACAATGACACAGAGGGGATGCTGCTTCAATTAGAGCATCTACACATTTGAGAAATGGTGAATTTTTTGTTCTCAATTGTTCAAAAAGAATGGGTGCATCTTATATTGGAGATGCGGCTTCTAATACAGATTTTACTGTACAACATCACCCATCAACATCAGTCTACATTTCATGATAACTTTGTCACTAGAGGGCATCCTAATTCTGTTAGTGCATGAATTTTATGAGAGTGGTAACACTGTCAGTCCAGTACTCAATTGACCATTTTAAAAATGTACATGAGATGAGGAGATGCAACAGCGATATTTTGGAAATAAGTGATTGCAGTATGTTTTGACTGCTTGAATTGTGATAATGATCTGATCGATTCTGATAATCATTGTCAGTACCAAAATCACAAGATCTATGACACTAACTACAATATAGCATGGCATTCTGTGAAGCTACTCATCAGTTCAACCATCAATTAACTTGCAAAGTATGACATAATAGCGACTGTGGATTAATAATCACGAGTGTTATATGAATTTGAGTATGCTGATATTGCCCTGGCGTTTACTTGAGGCAAGGTACTTGGGTGTTAGTTACAGTCTATAAACCCATGTGTGCTTCTATGACTGCCTGGGATAATGCTTCTTGGGGAGATGACTCTGTATTACGTAACGTATTATGTAACAGTTATCAAGTGGCATTATTTCTAAAGAAGCAACCTTATTGTTGGAATAGCACTGATGTCTTCTTGTCAACAAAGTGGATCATGTTGTGCATAATAAGAGATTACACATGTAGCTAGAAGTTATTTCCTATCAAAATGTTCTCGCCATATGACAACTACAGTGATTGCTATTCTTATCAAATCAACAATATAAAATGCATTGTTGCAAACAAATAAAAAAACGTCAATTAATTCGGCTGTACTTTTCAAGAAGAAGTTACCGGTAATATCAGTTTATACCGAAAATGACAAAAATATTTGCTACAAAATGTAAAACCGAAGATACCATCACAATATGAACAAATTTATCAGAAGACCACCCAATATACCTATAAATCATGTATCAAAGTAATCGGTCTGGCTGTTTTCTAGAGGAAGTTGTTATAGCAAAGAGGTGATGCTGGTGCAGATGTGGGACAGATGCTGATGATAGTAGACAATAATTAAAGGTATATGAATGGTTGCATTATTTTCAGGAAAGGACATCCGGGCATTTTCACCACCTGGCAACCATCACAATGAAAACAAAGGCCAAAAACTCTCAGAAAACTGTACTTTTAATAGGAAAGTTGTTGAGACTCCCCTGAACAGTGTAACAAGATCACCCCTACATGTACAACATAAATAAACTTGGTTGCTCAGGATTGTCTCATAATTTAGTTTGTGCTGTTTCTTTGACTTTAACTGTTTTCACTGGCTCGTTGACTGGCATTCAACAGCAGCTTGCGCAAGGCCCAGTGGTGCGCATCTTAATAATGTGGAAAAGTCTTTGACGCAGCTAGCACTACCCCCGAAAATAGGCTGTCACACTACAACATCCTATCTTTACATTTTTGAGAACCCGTATGCAGTGAAAACATTGCCTATAAGTTTTTTATTAACAAAAATAGTGAACAACGCCTTTATTTTATCCTTGGAGAGAACGACCGGTCACACGTACAAAATGTAAAGTGCAATGGCCTATAACAGAGACCTGGTATTACCTTTTAATCCTGGTGTGTAGTCAACATGTACAGACATCGATGAATCCTGCATACTGCTGTCAAGTCTCTGTTGTCTAGACATTTCCTGTTCTACCCTCCGAGCCGCTAACCTGGCAGCTTTTTCCGCTTCTTGCTTCACAAGCTCTTGTTTTCTTTCCTCCTTTAAAATGAAGAGATTCAGTTCTGAGATTGTGTGACTTAAGGTAGAAGCCGAGTCATAATTTTTGCCAAAATTGGTCATAAATCGCATGACAAAGTTCATTAGTTTATTATGTACAATCATAAAGCTAATGTCCCATGGTACAATGAAATAAAATTATTTTGTGTGTTACAGTTATGCTTTTTGAGAAACGTGTCCTAATATTTCTTGAAAATTTCTATTTTTAGAACAATTCCATAGAACACAATGTTAAAGAAAAATTGCATTTTTTGACACTTTTTAAACCCAGATTTTTTAAATAATTCAGAACAAAAAGTACTCCATCATTAACAATATATGATTTTTCCAGACTATGTCACCAAGTAAAAGTGTTATAATAGTGTCAAAATGGTGACTTTCCACTAAAGTACAACCATCAATTTCTCGAAAAAAAAGGTGACCCAATTTTTTTTAGGCTAATATTGCCTTAGAGTACAATTTATTACAAAATGAATAACTGTGTTTTTTAATTTATGAGTAGGAGTCTACCTAAATTAATTAATTTGTTAGCTTTTATTTGATTTCCTACTAGTAAACCGCAAACAACTTTAGCAGATATACCGTACACATCAATCATAATCTACATATAGCAGGTAACTTTAAATGTTGGTGTTCACATATAGTGATTATTTTAGAGGCAAAGCTCAAGATTCCCCAGTCATTATGTGTGGAGCATCTTGTACTTCAGCCCTGGTAAATGTAAGCTGAATATACACTCATGGTTTGATTAAATCTATATGATATGTTTTCTAATTGTAAATCCACATTACCTGTTTTGCAGCCTGTGCTTTCACAAAGCTCATTAGTTTTTTCCTTGGACCCATTGGAAGTCCCATCTCCTTGATGTCAGACTCACTACACATTGTCTAGGCATTAAAAGAAATCACAATATATCACAGTACATAGTAGAATCTGTATTAGTGACCACATTTAAAAGATGAACCAACATTGGACAGTCCAAATCCAATTTATATGAAGTGACCTGTATATGAAAGACTACCTGTCTAATGTTACCAGTGACTGCCCTTTTTGGCACCAGTAAAAAAAAC